GAAAAACTCGTTCTTTAATAGATAGATTTACATCTCGATTGAATTTTAATTGAGTCAACGAGCGAGTGCACTCCAATAACGGAGTAAGTTAATTATAAAAGGCAATTGATTTAAAAGGAGCCGTGTCGTGGCCGCGGTATGAGTAACAGAAAAAGTTTTCAATTTCACTAAAAGGGACTGGTTTGTGTCTCAGAAGTCTCGTCTGGTTATCGGCTTGTAATGTATGAAGTTACTCGCCGCGGCTTTATTTTATAACTCACTTCACGTAATAGGCTCCAAGTTGCTTTAATTCACTTTACCCCTCGTCGCGCGAGGCGTTTACTAATTTAGCTTTACAACTCATCTCGGAAAAATATATTTCGGGAGTTGAAAATCATGACGTTAATCACAGGATGGATGCTAGTGAATCCGCCATATTAAATACATATACGGGGAACACAGAGATAACGTCATAAATTCATCCATAAACATGCTTCATAAATTATCACGACAACGATTTGGAACATTTTACAGCGGCTATCAACGATACTTTACGATCAATAGGGATGTGACTGCATCGCGACTCATAATTAATACGAGACGTTTGTTTTATCATCTAATAAAAAATCAGCAGAATTTGCTATCGGTAACGTTACAACGCGTCGTTACACTCACTTACGTTAACGCGCCTCCTACGGTTAAGTATTCATAAAAGCTTTCAATGTTATTATATGTATCGAGATACAAAGTCGATATCAATAACTGGTCCACTTCATTAAATTATAGATTTACTATTCAATCTATTTAACATTAATTTGAAATTGTAACTTGGTCAAAGCTATTAGACTACTTCAAATGAACACGTCAGTGAATGTTTTAGTAACTGCTATTCAATTAACTTGCTTTTAATTAAAGCGATTTACTTAATCATGGAATAGTTTACATTCAAATGGAATCTGATTAGAAAACCGAAACTGTAATAAGATGTGGTGTTATGAACAAAAGATTGTTCACTAGAAGTTATAAAAGACAAGTTCTCCAATCCAAATTGAGTTCGACATCTCAAATAGATAAAGCGATATCTACCCGTTATAAAGCAAACTTTATAGTTTTGTTTTTGGCAGTTTTGACGTAGCTTCTATCTACTTATTTGTTCCTTCAGCTGCATCTAACTGAGGTGAAACTTTTAACTTGTCCGACGTATATTCCACCTGAGTATCACTTGGACTGCGGAGGGACTTTGTTTATTATCCGCCACTGTGTTTTGTTATTCTATTGTTAGATGGTCAGATTATGTTTCTTGTAACGTTCCGGTTCAGTTATTGGATAGTGTCAGAGACAGATATTGAAGTAATTTTCGTGAAGTAACAATTAAAGGGCATTGTTTTGGAAATGTTACAGACGTTCACGGTAACATTTTACGAGATTGTCTCGCTTGAGATAAGGCTGGCTTTGTGCTCCTTCAGGACGCGCGCCGGGGTGACAGGAGACACCTGAAAACAATAAACACGAAATTGCCACAATAATCGGCCCTCATGATCAGCACAACGACTGTCAGACAATGGGGCAGATTACGCGATAGGGGTTTAACCGAATAGCAGCTAACTCGATTATGCGGCCATCCGTGATTGTGTTTGAGCCTATTAATGTTTGAATTTCGTTATATTATTGCGGCGGTCGGGTGCCGCCGCTAATCCAATATGGGTTGGCATTAACGAAATTCCGCGTCGAGTTCGCGGTTGCCGTTCTGTGGCGCGAATGATAATACTCCTCACATTCGTGTTCTAATTGGCCATCGTCTAGTGATCACCTCGTTGACAACCCTTTATAGTTATTGAGATAAGAAATTGTGTGGATATCCGCTTTATTACAGCCATCATTAGAGGTATAATTTCATATTGTTAACTTATTTGAATACGGTTTGCTTTGTTGTAAAATTCACATTTAAAAATATATAAAATGTAAACTATGGTAACTTTTTATTTATTATTAAAAATCAAAACAAATCCAAAACTGAAAGCAACCGGTGGTAAAAGATAGTAAAAGTTTTCTTCCATCGAGTGCATCACTGCACGGAGTTTAATATGAAAGTGCGTGCGAACATCCTTTGTACAATTGTAGCAGGAGCCGGCCGGATGTGACGTAGAGAGGGTGTGAAGTAAAGCACCGCGGCCCACGGCCATACCTAGATTAAAGAACAACTTAAAGGAAAGCAATCTGCTAAATAAGTACCCGTGTAGCTGATACGCACAGAAACGCGCTCTACTTTGAAATATATATATTTTTAATCTTAATATCTATGTATGTATAATGTTACAATCCATCTACATATCATATTAAACATAAACCTGCAGAGCCTGATGGTTTTTAGAAATTTAATTAATTAATTATTTTCTTTCTCGTGTCTCATTCTCATTAACATTCAATCAAAATGGTAATGTCGGCTTCATTTAGATTATAGCAAGCCGCTCCTTAATTTTGCTTATAATTTTTAGCTAATTAGCAACTAAATTGTTCATGTTCCGCACATTTAGTGTGCAAAAAATAGAGTAGAGCAATGTTTGTGGCGTTGTTAGTTGGTTGAATTATTTAGCTTCTCGTCTCGTTACTTTGCGTCGTTTCCGCAGGTGTGGCAATCATATTGTCTCTCAGTCTCATCCGAACGCCAGCAGAGTGTAGGCGGCCGGGAGGGAGGGTTCCTACTGAAGCTCCGTATCCCCCTCATCGCGCCGCTTATTCTTTAATCTCGCTGATGAATTATGATTAGCGGAGTGCACTCAATCCTATTAGTGTTGTCTGTCTCGAACAATCTTCTGGAAGATTTGTTTTCTTTTTTGACGTACGTTAAGTTTAAACTTGGGCAACTTAGATTAGGTACTTCTATTAACACAAACAGTTTTTACCACAACGTTGAAAGACTAAAAAACGATTTTTTATTACATATACAAATATTTTTATATTATAATCTAGCGGAAATTATGGTCAGATGCAATTATTTAGTTACCCGGACCAAAATGCATTCGAAACGTACATTAAAATTCGCCGGAAGCCTAACAAAAACCTTTATGGCCCGTACAGAGCCACGTAATAGCTCGCCGTGGGACCACAAACTCCGATTATCCAAACAGAGAGCTCCCGAAACAGCGCTGTGAAATTTTAACGTGTAATTGATTATGAAGTTGGCCACTAATGGGCGAAAATAGTTTCTAATTTGGAGTGTGGTGGCAGCGCATAATTGGTCTCGGACCGCGTCTGTGTTAATCATTAACGTCGGTCCGGTGCGCCGGATGCGGGCTCCCAGGCGGCCCGCGCCGGCCATCCTTCAATTTCAGCCGCTGCATCACCGCTGTACCGCCGCTGCATCGCCGCCCGCGATTTTACGACACACCGCTGTTTTATTTCGTTTAATACTCAACAATTTGCCACTGAGTGACAGACAAAATTACTTTTGCATAGTTTTTTTCTACCATTGCCACGGCTGACATTCGTAAAATCCTAATTCGTGCGTATTGACGTTTCGAAAGTCACCGCTAATGGAAGGCGTGAGCTTTTTTGCTTGAGCTGCGTCTAATCTCGGTTGGTTGCATTCGCTACGGGTTGTTTTCCGAGTGGCGTAGCGTGTTGCTGTCACCGCTCGGTAATTATTCACGAAGGCTCGCTTCACGGCCTGTCTACTTCGCAAAAAATGTCGCATCGATACCTCAGTCGTGCACTACCATTCCATTGACTGAAGGCCTGGCATTCATTTGCTTTTTATTCTATTATTAACTCCTTGATATTCCACCGTGTTCAATGGATCCGATTTAAGTTGTCTTATTCGGTCGTTGACAGCCCGATTCTTTTACTTGCTAATATTGTGATTGTTTACTTGAATATAATGAAAATGATTTTTGCATAACAAATGTATTTGAAATTTACAATATTGTGTTTAATTTACAAATGCCATTTATTATTGTTTTAACTATTCCATGCACTTGTAGGTACCATATTTATTACAACATGAACAGTGCAAAGTACTAAAGACGCCATTAACGTATTTTATATGTATTTATTAAATGTATTGGTTGAAGAGGCAATAAACCATTGTTATAATATAGGTGCAATTAAACGTTTCGCCACACTTGATTAGGTGCACGTATTTAACCGGTACTCGAAGACTGGACTGCGTTGATTAGCTTCCTCTGTAGATTAAACGAACAGTCATTGACACTATTTGTCGGTGTAGTGTGCTGGCTTCCGGTCGATATCCGTGCGCTATTATTTATGGCGGCCGATCGGACGCACTCTCGAAAACACACAAAAATATGAGCAACGGTCCATTCGTCACGGGCCTTACAATAGCCAGCATTGTTTCAGGCACGTTGGCTCATAATACCCGAATCCGTTGTACTAGAAAACGAGTTTGTGCGTGGCCAAAAAAGTGAGCCGAAAGGTCGTACAGTCGTAATCGGCGCGAGAATGTCGCCAACAAAATAGTGCGAGGCTGCAGCGGTTGCCAAATTTAATTGAATTGTATTTAAAATATTAATTAAGCGTGACGACGCCGCGGTCCGTGCTTCACTTTATACCTGCTTTTTTCGGCGACACGATCTCAATTACAGTTTTTATTCTTATTTCAGTACTTATTCGATATTTTAAGGTACATAATTTGCTATAGTTCAGAAATGTCGAGTCGTGTTTCACGTTCTCATTAATCGCTTGAGTAGTTGTGCTAATTTTTTCAAGAAATATTACAGGCGATAAATTTCATGCTCTGGACTTTATGCTGTAACATAAAATGGTCTGAATGAGCTGTACGGTTCCGAGCCGATTACGTATTGTGACTTATGATTCAATATGAATGGACCGCGATACGACTGAACTTGATTTGTTGCTAAGGAATGAGAATATCATAAACGGGCCTTTTTGTGTTAGGCTTAAATTAGGGTACGAATTTTATTAGTAAGCAAACGTTTTATTAGTTTTGTTTATTCTTGTTTTCATAATTCTTGTTCATATATAACATATAATTTGTTTGTTATAGTGCGAGAGGCGTACGCCGCAACAGGCGAGCGGCGGTAGTCCAGGTTTGGGTACCCAGATGCTTGCCATGGAGGTCGCTAAGGAGGCGCGCGCGTCGCCACTGCCCGCGTCTGCGCAGACCGGCACCTCCTCGCAGCCTGCACAACCACCTCAACCACAGGTACATACATTAATTTATAATCATGGTTATGATGAGAACTACTGGCACTGTATTTAATGTCAAAGGTATTGATTTGATGCTTACTTCATTGATCACAATAGTCAGTCCGTCACAGCTGGATATGAAGATCTGGTTTTAATTTTAAGGTTGACAGTAGTTATTCAGTGAGTGCATTCAAACATTCTCTTCAAAATGATCATATTATTATACAGATTTCTTTTGTTTGCTAGATTTGTGCTGGATGCAGCAAGGTGATCACGGAGCGCTACTTACTGAAGGCTCTGGACCAGCTGTGGCACGAGGACTGCCTCAAGTGCGGCTGCTGCGACTGCCGGCTGGGAGAAGTTGGACACACCCTGTATACGAGGGCCAACCTCATCCTATGCAAGCGGGACTATTTGAGGTATGTTAAACGTTCCACATTTGATTTAAAATTATACAAACAAAAATGAATCATACATTAATTACTAAATCCTCGAGGATTCAAGTGCAATTGTCGAGCAAGAAGTTCTGATGAAGAAGATGATTCTCCTACAATCCATCAATTTAATCATATAACAAATGTTTCACCCAATGTTACCTTTTAGAGCCCAGGGACTCATTGATTTGAAAAAAAAAGGATTTTTCGTTTCCCAAAATTCTTAATTATCTGAAATTATGATATGACGAAACAATTGAGAATATTCTAAAGTTTCTTATTCCCTACAGGTTGTTCGGCAACACTGGATACTGCGCGGCCTGCAACAAAGTCATTCCGGCGTTTGAGATGGTGATGCGCGCGCGCAGCAATGTGTATCACCTGGAATGCTTCGCTTGCCAGCAGTGTAATCATAGGTATGTATAGAAAAATATTGATTAAATTAACAAAAGTAGGAATTAGATCAGATCCAATTAATAATCTGTGAGATATTTTTTCAAAGTCAATTATTTATATAGGTAATTCACAGAAGTGTTTACTATTTTATAAAATCACAATTTATCAGAAAAGAAATGTGCAAGCTTAAGAATTTACCCAAAGTGTGAACCCCTACCAAAAAGTTCCACCCATTATTTATGAAAACAAATAAGATCTGAACATGTTACACACATATTGAATCCCACATTTTACGAGTAGGACAAAACATTCCAATAAACTATTGAGTGAAAAGGACAGAAGTATTATGTAAGAGCAGTTTATATTGTTTATTCATCTCACGGAGTGAAAACGCGATTAAATTTTCCGCTACATAATAAAATCAAACGCAAGGAGGAGAATGCGTGCTCTTGTATAAACATTTAATATCTGGTGTCCATAAATTGTGAGTCTTATTTTATTGTTTATTTAAATATTTCGTCGAGGATTAAATTACAAAGCACTTATATATTTTTCAAAACGAGACACGATATGAATGCTACTTATTACACATTACTTTATGAAATGATCTGTAATTGTTATAGGGATTACGAAAAAAAAAACATTCGTAAATAAATGTTATAATGATCACCTCTATTTTACGAGTCATATTGTTAAATAGAACATATCAGTCCACATATAGTGGAATCTGATTAGTATATAGTTGATACTAAAACAGATTAGATAATTGTGTTAAGGCATTAGAGTGGAAACTAGAAAAAGGCAATAAACAGGCGACAGTATTAAAGTTCGTTAAACATGATAAAAATCGGTTCACTTTTAAAATAACACACAGTATTAGACCAAATCGGTAACCACATCAATGGTCGTTGGGAGCCAGTATTAATTAAAGCTGAGTGAACATCGTACGGACTACATTTAGTCTCAGTGTCCTCGGCTTGTGTAGGAGAGCAAATAATACAGGTGCAAATGGTTCTTCATTTCCTCGCTCAGTTTGTGTCGTGTTCGTATTGCAATCGGGATTCAATAATGTCCTATGTAGCCCTTCAACAGATTGATTAAACTCCGAAGCTTTACCAATGCCGATACCTGGGTAAATCTGTACTCTATTAAAAAGTTGTAAAATGTCGAGTACATTGTCATAAAATGAATATAATTTTTACTGCGTCATCTCTTTTCACATACAGGAGATACGAGCATGCACCGATATATTGGTTATTGTGTTTAAAAATACGAAGCTCTACGAAAGTATCGTGCTGATTTCGTCGCTTATAATAGTTATATCAAACGAACTAAAGTATTTATAGCAAAAGTATCAAGAGTTTCTTTCTATAAGATTACAAATGATATGAACACTTTATAGCACTTGCAATCCCAAACATACATTTGTTAAACCCACTTTAATATTTCTCCAAAGTAACATTGCCCCGGCAACGAGATTTCTTTACTAATCAAAACATATGAATACTCTTCGACTGTTTTATTCAATTCAATTGTACGGTGCACGACATTGTCAGCCGGCCCGGATACCGCCGTCCGTATTCTAGTCTCGAACTCACGACTCACGTCACCTGAATTTGTAAAGCGAATTTATTTCGTAGTGAACTTTCAGGACATTTTGATACAGTTCAAAGTGTCGGGTTTTACACAAAAGTTAGTTTTGGTATTATAGCACTTGCATAACTCATTTGAGAGGGTAAAATAATATAAATGGGTTGCTTCCAATATCCCCTTTTCGCTGTATCGCCCCAAAATGTCGTGTAAAGTTCAGAGTAGGGGTGCAGGCGCGAAAACGGCAATTTTCGCCGGACTGCGTCCGTTTAAATAATAGAAAGGTCGCGAAGATTGGAGCCGCTCTGAATGGTTTATATGTCACTTGTGAACCTTTCCCGTGTTAGTAGATCTCGCGCGACATTCTCGCCGAATTATATATTCATTCGAGTGCTTTTAGAATACAGATTCAACAGTTGGCTTCGTATTACGCAAAATGCTCCTCGACTTTGTCTTTTAAATTTTTGAACCTGGTTTGTACTTTTAAAAGCATGATATTTATAATAGTACCTATTGTAATGTATTATATTTATAATTTATATTGTATTTTGTGTAGGGTATGTAGTATTATGTTATTTACAACTTATAAATGTCTATACAGGTATTTTGGTAATTAGGTGGATTAAAGTTTAATAAACATGCAACAACTACCGTACACCAGTGCAAACTGTTAAATATCACGTACAAATCAATTTCCACGCCGGGCAGAAATCTGAATCCAATTTGCGGGCTGTCCGATCGGAGCGGACGGCAGATATCACGGGCGAATATCGCTAAACGGCTAAATAATTTAGTAGCAATCTGGCGGCGAGCGACGGCGGCAGCCCGCGGCGGAAGCCGCGTGCTGCGGCTCGCACGCCCGCCGTCCGCCGTCCGCGCCGCTCCACGCCGCCGCCACCGCTCGCCGCCCACGCCTGCAACCACTATCTTCACGCTGCGAACTTCTGACTTACTACAACAAAATTACGAATAGTCACAAAATGTAAATATACTCTCAGGACAGCGTTTCGAAATAAAGCGTTGATGAAATTGAAAGAGGCTTTCTGTTCTTGGGTAGACATTGGAATGTTTTTCTCGCTTACAGATTTTGATCAGACACCTCCTGAATGCTTTTGTCTTACTGCAGAGGGAATAGAGTCAATGTACACGTTCGTTTAACGTAAAACGTCAAACTTGGCTTGGGTGCCGTTGCGACACAATGGCGCTTCGAACAAAGCTTAACTTGCACCCAGTCATTAAAATTTCGTTTTCCATCTTTTCCATTACGCAGCTGCAGACAAAAAATAGCGAAATAAAAAACGACGAGCCCAAAACAAAAGTCGGGAACGAAGAGAACAGGAAATAAAGTTAATTAAGAGCGGCGAAATCGACTGAGTTGCGGTGGAAATTGGCCCCTTAAAAAAGAGACATTTGTAGCGGAGCTATTGCGCTTAATTTTTGTGACAAGTGAAACAAAAGAGTTGGCAGGGTGGCGGAGACGCGGGGCGCGGGCGCGGGGCTGAGACCGAGGGGAGATAAGGTCGCCGTTATCACCGGCGGTTCCGGGCGGACAGTGGCGAGTCGAAGGCGATACCTTTTGTTTTGCCACATTGAGGGATGCTCGCTTGCGTGACGTTATCGCGCCTCCTTCGTTCACGCTGACCTTTCCACTCATGATAGTAAATTTTATTCCTTAGACGTTTTGTGGCTTGCCTTTCGAGTTTCTTTTCATCAAAGTAATGATGTTCGCGATTAGATCGAACGGTGCCTTATTAGAAATAGGATGCGTATAATAATTATTAACCTTAATAACGCGTGGGTTGTGTAGCAGGTTCCGGTAGCATCGCTAATTGGATCTTCCTGCTTGTAGCTTGCTTATTTTATATGTACTAACTAATGATGTGAGTGTCGCAATTAACCTACAAAGTCGATAATGATGTGTACGTAACAGGTGAACATTTGATTATGACTGAGGTAGCAAAAACTCGTTCTATATTAAGCACATAAATTGTAAAATTCTGAGAATATGTTAAAGATAATATTTAAGTTATGTGAGAAGAATTTTCTATGTAAAATTAAACCGGACTAAAGTAACTCGATACTTGCCATATCAGGACATTTAAATCAATAAACTGCATCGTTTGTCTAAGGTTCTGCGTGGGCGACCGGTTCTACCTGTGTGACAACAAGATCCTGTGCGAGTATGACTACGAGGAGCGCCTCGTGTTCGCTAACATGGCGTACAACCCGCCGCCGCTTGCGCACCTGAAGAGGCAGACCACGCATCTACCACCACCACCGGTAAGACAATCTAGATAGTCTTTGACTGAAACTGTACTAAATATTCATGTCCATGTAGTAATTATAAAAGCTCTTTCATAACTGAAATATTGGTATAAAATAAAAACAACATGCACAGTACAGAAAATCATCACACAATTCTATTTAATATATTTTGATGTTACTGCATCGTAGATCAAAACAAGATCTAGATCTCGTTTTAGATACAGCATGTGTCTGGAGTTGATAGTCAGGAAGTTAATTAAATAAATTTTCTACAGACAAGCAACGCAATGAGCGGTTTGATGAACGGCTCGAGCCGCTCCGGTGATCTGAACAACAACATGTCGGGCTCGTCGCCGGCTCCATTCGCCGCCCCGCCGCACCTCAAGCCACTCGGCCTCTCGGCGTCCAGCTGAGATTATAGTGCGTGAGACGCGGCCCACCCCTACGCCAAGTATCAAAACTAATCACGCGTACTCCAAACAATGATTGATACAAGTCAAACAGTTGCTGTTACAAACGAACTCTAAAGTGTTTAACGCAGCTCTTTAAAGACAGAACTTTTTAAATTCGTCTTATTATGAACTTAACATGTTTCTAAGTGTACGTATAAACTAAAGCAAAGTAAATGCCAAACTGTAGTTAATGTTTCTGATTGTTTATGACAGCACGTAATTAGCGTACATTGTATGTAATTTTCTTGAATAAAATATGATATTATTATGTTATTAGAGTAATGACTGTGCGAAGGAGGACTGTTTTAGTTTTTTCTCAGAATTTGATCTCAGATGAGCAATTATGCTGAATTAGAATATAGGTAAAGGATCTATGAATCTCTTTTTTGTATAAATTTGTTAAAAGTTGCAATATCATGTCTGTATTTTTCTCTTAAACGTATAAGTAATAATGAGTGAAGTTACTGTACGGAGGAGTGATACAGTGCGATTCTTAGGGCTGTGAATATTTTCAGCGGTTTAAATGCGTTGTTATTAGGCGATATGGACGTTATGGCGGCTCCACCGCACCGCTACGGTGAGCGGTGGGACGCCGCGTGGACGCGCGTGTAAACCGCTGAATGTGTAACCGACCTAACGCGGGAATCCAACAAGCGCGGGTTTTAAGACTGCCGAATTGTCGTCTTTGATGGATGAATTGTATTTTAGAATAAACTATCAGTGTTAATGTAAATATTATATCCATCTATATGTACGTATTATAGTACAATCGATCGAGTCTCAAATTAATTAAATGTATTTAACGATCAAATATTTAGGTTACTTTCAAATATTTTTAGTTCTAATCTGGCTAAGCCGTTATGAAAAATTTATTTGAATGATCAATTTTTCGAATATATTTGTTATTTCTTTTTATATGTATGTAAATTAACTGTTAAGTTTATTATGGACATTGTTACGATGTTTGTATTATTTATGTAAATAGATTACTTTCTAAGTATATAGACTATCGTCTCCTATTATATTATAAAATGGTGATTATGAAATATTTGATTAAATTAGCAAAATGTGGATTTTTATGTGTTTATTAAACAATACATAATTCGAAATAGTTCAAATTAGTTACTTTAGTGATATTTTAAATGAATACTTGTCGTCGTCTTCAGACGATTTATTAATTGTTTGCATTTAATTATGTACAGTCGGCAATAATGTGTATTTTAAAATTATAATAGTCCTTGCAAGCTCTATACGCGAGTATTTAAATCCATAGAAGTTTTAATGTTATACTAATTGTGAATCAAGTGTTTTATTGTCAGAGATGGTACCTAGTTGATACATTTCAAGTACTTCGATGTGTAATTATAACGTAGGTGTTATGTTGACGACTGTACAAGCTCATGCATTCCTGTAGATGAGAGACGCACGGTTGTGTGCACACACACACATTTATATAAATATGAATGTGCAAGTTCTCTTATAACCAATGATACGACCAAAGATGTAGCTCATTAAAGCCTTGTTCAAGAATATTACTTTTATTTTATTTCTTATCCAGTTTTTCGTTAAAAATACCCTTTGATCAGCGAAGTTTTCCCCTTACAGTTTCTGTAATTAGTCCACTGTTAATCAAGATGAAGTTAACGAGCCAACTGTTTATAATATTACTGTAAACTAAAATATAACTATGAAGCTTGATTTCTAGGTGAAAGAAAGCAGTAAAAACCTGCATTGGAATTGTAAACAAGTACTTATTTCAATAGAAATTCAATTATCCGACTACAGAAATGTCTAATTCTAATATCCAAACACCACTCAATTTTAAAACGCGCTTTAGGATAGTTCTGGCACTAAAAATTCTTTAAAAATGACAGAGATGGCACGATATTTAAGTACAACTTAAAATTGAGTAGCCTTTCAGTATTCGAGCGTTTCGATATCCACCTGGTATACTTGTATGATCGAATGTATGAATGTGAAGCTTCCTCTTATATCACTCTATTTATTAAACCGCATTTAAAACGGTTGCGTAGTTTTAAAGATCTGTGCTTTCATAGGAACAGACAGATAAAGATTTTATTTTATAGTAACTATGAAGTGATAAGTATGTAAAGGTGCTCCCTCACCGGGAGCATTCGCGTGTAATGTAACATTACAGATCTGAGCATTACATCAGTGAAGGAGGAGAACCGAGCATTACAATGCGCACCTTGTGATGATACAATGTGTAATATCTTGACACAACTTGTAACATCAATGCCCCCTGCCCCCCGCCCACCCGCTTCGTCTGAGATCTTGCTATGAAATGCTCAAAGTCGAATCTAAAATGTTACATTACACGTGAATGCTCCCGATGAGGGAACACCTTTAGTCACTAAAAGTTGTTAAACAAGAAAACTCCTTGTCACCACAAAGTATCATTTAAAGATCCTGACCTCTGTACAAAGAATGCTATAAAGTACTCAATGAAAGAGAAAATGCGTTATCAACAGACAGGGCAGCGGAAATTCGAACAGCACCTTTTGGTAGCAGGGCGTGAATGAAGAGTAAAATGTTCTCATATCGGGGGCATAAAAATGTCGTCCGCCGTGCATTGTAGTATTTACTGATATCACCTGAAGAGGCACTCGGAAAACTGTAGAGATAGTCAGTCAAATTCAAAATGGTATATTATTTTGATGTTATATTGCAACGTGAGCAATGAGAGAGACGTGTTGTTGTTAGGAATTAGGTACTTTAATTGAGTGTCTTAATAACTAACTTAAACTACTTTTTTTTAGGGCGAGGTGTCACACACAACAATGTTATCTGAAACACTTACGTCTGAAAGTTTAGGGTGTGTAATGAAAAGTGTGAGGTTATACACAAATTGTATTTTTAATGGTATAGGGGCAAACGTAGCATCGTGTTTAATGTTCAAACCTTCTCCGTGTGAGAACGGCCTTGGGTTAGTAGAGGCCACTTATAGGCTGTTGATATGAGGGGCAAACGAGTAGACTGATCACCTGATGATAAGTGATCAGTACAATCCATGGGGTCCCCCTCAACACCAAAGGAGTCACAAGTGCATTTTTGTATCATGCATACCGGTGAATAATATCCCAGTTATAGAGGAGAGTATAGATATGATAGACGACACGATACAGTTTCAATATTACGAAGAAATAGAATGTTGATGTATGTTTTTATTTCAAAAGATACCTTCTTTATTAAAGTAGAATTTAAGTTCATAGGTAATAAAAAATAATTGCAACTAGAAACTATAAAAAAATCAGTTACTTTAAACGTTAAAGCGATCTCTATCAGTGCATTATAAATGTAGTTTATTTCCACATTTGTTTGCGAACGCTACTGCTTACGGTTAGCGTGCAAAGAGGAGAAAAATCACCCCAATTTCCCGACCTCCCGCCCTCATTGTCGGCCCAGCACTCCCTGATAGAATTGTTATCGATGCCATCTTTAATTTCAGCACTGTAAACAACCACCAACATTACGAACCAACACACAACTAACTCACCACTGAATTGAAATTTAAAAGACAATTTATTGATTTATTTTCTTTTTTCTCAAGTTCTTTTAAATTGAGAAAGAAGTTCTGTTGGAATGAATTATTGTTATTTAATCTTTAAATAATATGTAATAACAAATAACTTGATGTTAATGAAAAACAACCTAAATGATATCTACGTTACACAAATCAGCAATTGTATTCTGTAAGGTGAGAAGAAATCAATTGAACAAGTCGCGTGCATTGTATACGAAGCGCATATTCAAACAGAAAGGGTTGACAATAAATAAAGGTGTGAGTTGTGACGAGCTCGCCAACCTTCGCAGCCGGCCACCTCGAGCGTGAACTTCACAATGAGGTGCGTGAAAAATGGCTCCCACCGACGCGACGGCTCACAAATCAAAACTGTGAAACCGTTTGGCAAAAAATGAAAATAAAAAACACAAATATAACAACGTAGGAAGCCGGGCGCACACCACTGATGGCTTCTTGCAATAATTTCCGTTTTCAATGAACGCGTTTTTCTTTTTCTTATCATCCCACGAACTAGGATGGTTGGGAATAAATTGAAATACAAAATTGATTGTTGACTTTTCCCGGCCGCTTTATTACTGTCACAAATAGGAAAGAGATTGAAAATTGCCTACAGAGGAGACGTCGCCGTCGTCGGCCGATTTGATGATCCTGCAATCAACTACCTGCTAATGTACAATGTACACAAAATAAAACTGGACTACAGCTACCTACATTCTTGCAATACATTAACTTTACTATTATGATAGTAAAGTTAAGTTAAGAATAATTATTCTTGAATGGGTTATCAAGCATAGCTTGTTTCAAGGGAGATTTTATTTCAAATCGACGTTCCGATACTAAAAATAGTTGATCAAGTTTTCAGAGAGTAATGAAAAAGTCTTATGCCGGAATACTGAAACGTTACTCAATTTTAAGTCGTCCTTACATATCGTGCCATCTCTGTCATTTTACAAAGAATTAGTGGAGACAGAATTATACCTACCTACCTACTTAAGCACGACTTAAAATTGAGTAGCGTTTGAGTATTCCGACATTAGTACTGTATTTTCATTAAATTCAAAGATAAATAATCTAAAAAAACTACTAGATGCACATGTTGCGATTGAAATTTCTAAGGAGTTTAAAAGAAAATAGTGCAAGCGTAAGATTGAGATCACGAGATAGTCCAATCTGCTGGACGATTTATTAAGTTGTTGGTTCTAGTTAGAACATGGGTAACACGCGTTATCTTTCAATGGTACTGTTTTGTACTGAAAACAAATTGAAGTTGCATTCAAATCTTAACCTTATAGAATTGTATTTATAAGGTTCTTTTAACCGCGATTAAACTTGTAAGTATAATTAAAGTTAGACGATTATTTTAATAGCATATTGCATCTTCTGCTATATCCTTGAAATTAACAGTATTTATAATCTTATCAGGTTATTAATAGTTAACGGAAAATTCTGCAAAAAAGGTGTAAAAAATTACTGTAACTCAGATTTTCTTAAGAAAATCTACACATATAAACATGTTTTTAATTTATTTCATTATTTTGTAAAGGCTTCATACATATACTAGTGCACTAGGTGGGCTTATTGCCATGTACATTCTCCATCTTATTTTCTGCCAGCCAGACCTTTATGTGATGCAGAGACAAAAACAATATTTGAGTTTGAATGGCGATGGGAGTCGCTGTGTATGAAAAATTAAATATAAAATGTACCTATTAATAATCCTTATCTTGATAAATAGACGAGCTATTATTTTTACGACCTATTCCCTGTTTACACTCCTTAATGCTCGGTCAGGATGAGTTAACGACAGTTGTCAGTTCTTTTACCCTCGAGCAGGGATTTATATAGGAAAATGGTTCTTCTACATTGCCCATTTAGAAAGAACTCAGGACTTATATAAAATTCCCTCAGATTCACAATTTCTTCGTAGATCAGAGAAGGGTGAGGCAGGTCTAAGTAAACTGGACGAGCTATGCCCCCGAAGCTCCTATTTTTATTTGAGTTTTAATTATTAAAAGTTTTATGAACTGCTTATTTCTTTTTATGAGATTGTTGAATTAATTCCTTTTGTTTGTTAACTCGACCCTCCTTGTATTATCAAATGCTAAAAGTTGCGTTTGTTTCACAGTAATTAATGTGCTGAATTGAAATCGTTGTTAGTACTTTTGCTATGATATAAAGTTGAGGCGCTGCATAATATTACTTGTTTTCCTCCAGGTTAAATTCGCGGTTAAATTTATTATTCAGTTTATATCTATATTATCAGTTTAGATTTATTCGGATATGGATGTCAATATAATCTGTAATTATAATTTTGAAAAAGACTAGGAAGTCGGCAGAACTCCGTGATTGTATACGTCATCTAAGATAAAAAAGTGTCTACCACATTTATTATACAGAGATATTGTTAGTCCCACGTAGTAATTAATTTAGATACTCTAATTGGATTATTTTATTTTCCAACGAAATATGGAATATCGTTCAGAAATCAAATTGGCAGCTACTAAAGTAAGTCTTAAAAGCAGGTTAGGGATAAACAAATGAAATATTATTCAAAGAATAATAAGTCACGTATTTCTCGAACGATAAATTCAAATGAATATGTTTTATATTCATTTCGATTGAGTGGGTTATTCAAAAATTTCACCGTTATCACGTCCGTTGAATATCATAAAACATTTTAAAGTTCCCAAAGAGATATTTTAGAGTCGAATCTTCCTTCGGCACTGTGGGTTCGATGTAAGTAAATTTAACTTTAAAATATGCATAACAGTTTTCCGATGCGATCCCCTTTCGAATTTAAACACATCGAGTCGTATTAAGATACATTTCGATTCAGTGCACTTGGAAAGTTTCGGAAGAAAATACTATGCAGTTTAAAGATGAAGCGATTTCGATGTAAAGTGTATGATGTTAGGAAATAATGCGTGATGTTTGCTTGAATGACTTGGTTTCAATCTAGGCATTTTGAAGTTCCTACAAATCAAAACACGACTGCTGTGCCGTTATAATACGAGTACCAAAATTCTAAGTGACAACTTAGCATAACAAATAGTGAGCGTTTCATTTCTCACATAACATCACGCCTTTTATCCCCGAGGGCGTAGGCAGAGGTGTACATTACGGCACTTAATGCCACTATACAATGTAACACTTACTTTTCACCATTTATGTAATGCGTCTCATGTATTAGGGGGTGAGCTTATTGCCATATACCGGGCACATTTCCAGACTCCGTGCTACTACTGAGGTTTTTACAAACCCAGTAATACTTGGCCCGATCCGGGAATCGACCACTCGGCCAATGAGGCAGTCATTGGTCAGTGTTTTATTTCTAATCTGCTCTTATAAACTTATCGGGCAATCACATACAATCATGCTGTTTATGATTTTACAGCTAAATATAGATAACACCAGCCATTGCATTGTAAAATAAATCACTATTAAAACAGCTCAAGCAACACAAAGTCCAAACTATGTAAGCCATAAAGTATATTTAAAGATCTTAACGCATCTGAAACAAATTTTCAAGAGGGTTGTAGACTTGGAACGTTAAGTGTACTTAACCACGACTTGTGAAAATGTAAATAAGGAGCTTCGCCATGACAACGCGCCGCCGCCGGCCGAGGCTCAGGGATTTGTCTTCTCCAGATATGATAATTAGTTTCACAATGACTCGAATTAGTAAGATAGGAAGTAAAGTTAATTTTTATTGTGATACTAGGACCTCGTGCCACTAGTGTGATCTATAAATACGGTTCTAATTTATGGGTTTTATAAAAATAAACTCTGCCACGGCTAGGTTGACTGCACGGTTGGTGCGGTGGTTGGGTAACTGGCTGCCGCGCAACGTGTCGCAGGTTCAATTCCCGCGCTGAACAACTCTGTGTGATCCACAGATCGTTGTTCCGGGTCTGGGTGTCATGTGTATGTGAACTTGTATGTTTGTAAACGCACACACGACAGAGGAGAAACTTATAGCGTGGGGCAAAGTTTAAAAAAACTAAAAAAAAAAACTAAAATGTTAAGTATTTTAGTTTGAAAGCAAGAAAGAGTGCAGCTTATTTTCACTCGCTTATTTCTTATTGTTTGTCATGCACTGAGCAAAATTGCAATTTTAAATAACTTCGTGTTGTTTAAAGTACTTAGTCCAAATAAAAGACCAAACCACTATGTATAGCCACTTATTAAATTCTTAATTGCAGAATGCATAAATTCCGTCAATATGGTCTGGAAACTTGTTAATGCTATTAGAGCAAGCCACGGAGGCGTAAAGCTTGCAACCTTACTTAAATCTACTTATTCGACAAACTTCAGCGCCGCGCCGCTCGTCTTACCGGGCTCTTCATTGTAGTTTTATTATTAGCGAAGAATTAAACTACAGAATCATCCAGAAAAGGTTTGATCAAATTAAAATCGAAATACCGAACAATTAAAAGTTTAATACTCTGACAAATAATATCACAAAAATTAACATTAAATCAAACACGCCAAAATGAAGAATCCAAAGAAAAGACTTAAGGTATTAGACACACTGCTATGGCCGGCGCCACGTACTTTGACTTTTACGTCGTGTTGTTGAGCTTCAACACTTGGCTTCCTATCCGGGTTTTCTAAATTTCCTTCTTCAAGTTTCTTACGCTCATTTGTAAATGTCTCTTTTGGCCAGACCTTTGTTTCAGCACTCTCTGTTTCAGAAACTGAATGTGTGGGGGAAGATTCGTGCACTGAAGGTGAGTGTTCTGGTGTTACTACTTCTTCTGATTGTGCGGTAGACGTTACTGTCACACTAGTAGTATCACTCTCACTTTCTGTTGTGGTGTCTGGAATGGCCGAAGTGACAACGGGAACAGGAGCTATCGTGGTTTCAATCAAACTCACTACAGGTATAGGAGTAGTCTCTTGAATAATAACTTCTGGTGCAGGCGGATCTTTGTTAGCTACGTCACAAATATGCATGCACTGCTCTTCGTGACATTTGTCTTCTGTGCCGCATGAGATAAAATTATCCCACGCAGACAACTGCTGGTATAGATGTGGCTGCTTGCAATCATTGTCTATGTAGGTTTGAATTCCCACTACTTCGTGTTCACAAATAAGTGGACCACCACTATTTCCCTAGGATAAAAAATTATATCATTACGAACGGCCATTTTTTGTAAAAAATATAAATTAATGCGTAATTTTCGTTCAAATTTCATGCAAGTGCTAATTAAAAAAACTTACTTGGCAGAAATTGGGATCGTAGACTGCGTTCTTGTTATCCTCAGTGCGAGAACCACAGGTCATGGTGTTACTAACAAAGTGAGGACCGCAGTTCTGGATTGAGGGCGGTAGCAGTTCAACTTTAAACTGCATTAAGTTCCGTTCTTCAGACCAGTTGCCATCTCTTTTCTGTAAATCATTGTATGAAATATGAAGTCACATTTCCAAATCATTTGTCTACCAGAAAACATCGTTTATAATAAGAAATAACATCCCAATGGACCATCCTAACGATTGTGTGTTGTTTTTATGCATGAACATAACCTGTGTGAAGACTTTGTAATACTAGTGGAAAATCTTACAAACAAATGTAATCATATGCACTTTTAATGAATACTTGAATAAAATTTACTTACGGCAAATACGAGTATGGTGCAGGTCTTTTCTGTGATGTCTCGTTTAGAGGAGAGGTTAGTGATGGCCACTGCTGAAGTTATGTTAAATGGTAGCAGCACCTTCATCAATGAGATGTCTGTGCGCCACCACTGCGTCGCACTGTGGTTGTATGGACGAACTATTTGTATCACCTGCAAAAGGTAATCATACACGATTGAACTAGATACATACAAATATTTTATTTACAATCATCTAATAAGATAATTAATTGTAACGTAAGGGTTTTTACGACAAACGGTGAAATAATAGAAAATCATTATATGAATCTTGCAACTACATACAAGTTTCCCATACCTCTCGTTCCTGTTCATCCTCATCTTCATTAAGTGTAAAATTCGTATCAATACTAATTGCGCCAAGTCTCGCTAGAAGTGTTTTTCGTGGAAAGCCATTAGATTCCTCTGTGAGGATGCTGGAGCCGACAGCGGAGCTGATTAGCCACTCGGGTCGAATGAGCACTGCGCCACGAAGGAATCTCGCGCCGCTACCGTCTATCACCGTCTCATCAGGGTAATATAAGAAAGCCTAGAAAAATATTATGAAGTAACTTCTTAATAATAAAAAAATACTTACAACTATTTATTACCTCTTCGAGTTTGAATAGGTAACTACCATACGGATTAGAATTTCACAAATTTGTAATTCAATTTGAAAAACACACCACTATTATTACATTTCATTTGTCTTCATCACAGTTGATATGAAATCTATTCCCTTATAAGGAGCTCCACATTCTTTACTCTTAGTAGGTTGGTTCAGAATCGTTTGTTTGTTTCACTGTGGCGGTGACATGGTACGTCATTACTTCGGCAGCTTCGCAGCATCACAACAAAACAAGTTGCAACTGACTTACCATGTAAGGATAAACTCCTCTCTTCACTTCCTGTTCACCGTCCGCGCATACTTCGACACATAATGACGTCGCTGCAAAATTAACAAAACATATATTTACAAACCCATCTTCCACGGGGAAAGGAAAACTACGCAAACGTGAGGATTGTAGGATTACCGAAACATAAAGCAATCAAAGTTTTAGTTTTCATATTTAAAGAAAACTACCATAAATATTTCTAGGAAAACTGTATGACGTTTCACCGTCAAATACATTGCTGACCTGACAGTAGAAATTTCAAAAGAAGAATTGATATCGTTTTTCTTAACATATTTTCACTGCCAGGTAAAGCAAAGAGTTTTAAAATCCTTCGCAAGTATTTAAACCCTCATTTTTTCATTATGCTATAAATTCTTCAACTCTCTCTGTAGTAAAAATCGAATTAGTCGAGTCACGTCCCTTTATTTTTCTCCGCTATCTTTGACAAAGTTACGCCGACTCGAGTTAAAGACATTAATCAGAATCTCATCCGAGCCAAGATGTATTATCCTCAATAAAGCGAAAAGAATGACTTCGCGATTTTAAAACGCGTGTTTTACAGATAACAGCGGTGGATAAATCTGGGGAACACCTAATTATTCATGTTAGGGGTGTTTAAGAGTGCGTATTAAAACGATTGGTACCGCGTCGACTTTTGAAAAATATGCTAAGAACATAAAAAAGTACAGTTTATTTAAAATATGTGGACGGAAACATGGCTTGGGCGGGCGCGCACCGCTCGCTTGCTGTGTAGGTACGTCTATTCAGTTTTATTTCAAATTGGATAAATGTATAAAACATTGAGAGGGAAAAATGCTTAGGCTTTGAATGTGCTTTATTTGTGTTTGAATTACTCTTCTTCTTATGGTTTTTAAAAGTAATTCCAAAGTTCCGAATCGCCTACAAAATAGCAATTAGAATAGCCACTTCGAGGTAGCGTAGCACTATCATTGTCACAAATGAGCGGGGATATCCAAACCGCTGATGCAGCCACGTCAATACCACTTGCTCCAATGGTTATTACATGTCCAGTTTAGATGGAGCTGTCTTACTGTTCTAAGCTTTCTCTCAATGTCTTTAAATTTTATTCGGTTTTAGGGACAAGCGGTGTCTTCTAAACTTGGTATTGTTATAACGGTCCGAATGAACGAGCTACGTGTTTTGGCTGCATCCCCCAATTGCTTTACACTTCTACGTTCGACGTTATAAAACGATGCCCTAAAATGCCAATAAAACTGCTATATAACTTTTAATCGTAGTTGTATTTTAATAGTTATATTGATTTTGTGAAAAGCAATCGAACGAATATTTATAGGGTATGGGTATGGCATGGGTATCCGTAACAGCGGCTGATTTTATTGTTTTGTCGGTGAATATAAAATGATACCGGGATTTTTCAACGGCTCTAGTCGGGCTATTCTATTTTTATATGGATATTTATTCATTGTTTGAAATAATAGAAACTAAATTTTGTAACAGTGCGTAATGTTTGTGTGTATACAAAATTCAATTGAATTTATTTATTAATCGATTTTTTTTTAGTTTTCAATTGAAAATAACGGTTTTACTTGTTTCTCGTTTTGTATACAATACAAAACAAATACAATAAATGTTTCATCATTCCTTTTGCCAGAATACCTGCCTTGCTAAACGAATTTAGCTCCATGTTGAACATACCTAATATACTAAGGACTAAATACTTGAAGCGTGTGAGTAAATTCGCATTAGGTACTGGTTGCGTACAAATTCCGTGGAGGCTAGGAGAACTTTTCGCCGGCTTACCAACTGTGACTCGGGAACGGTGATATGAATATTAAACGCTTCAAGAATTAGAAGATTTATACGACAATTCGGAAGTTGGGCGGTCCTCGCGCACTTAAATGAATGTTTAACATTATCTGCAGAGTTTTAAGGAACTTGAGCCTCTTAAACAACTTGCGAAGAAACTTTAATAGAGAGCGGCTCTCGGCCGATTAATTCGGAGACGTGGAAAGGTGGACGGGAATCCTTAATGTGGAAGGGTAACGGGAGGTGTTCAATCGGTGCATATAATGGAGGAAAGGGTGCTCTCACAATTATTTTTGCGCTTGTTTGGGGAAGTATCAGTGTTATAGTTGAAGATAAATCTTTGGATATTATGATATTACTGACATAAATGAAAACTTATTAAGTGACTGAAGTGGTCTCATTGTAAAATCAAAAAGGGTTTAATGTAAATTAACTAAAAATCGCGGGTTACTCACGTGACTATACTGAGAAAAGATCTACTAGTTTCGAACCACAGAGGGGTTCTTCCTCCTTCGCGATTTTTAGTTAATTTAGTATGTCTCACGATAGTTATTATAAAAAAACGTTTAATGTAGATTACTAATTAATTTATTTACATTTTTCCGTGTAAATGTTGTCCAAAATAAAACTGTTCATTAAAATATTACAGTGTTGCTATTGAATCTATTTTTGGTAATAAAATATTGTCAATTTTGTCACGAAACTTACACAGGTTCGAGTAACAATGAAATCAGTTGGAACACGTTTCATATCGACATGATGAAAACCTCAACGGTAATAACAGTAACATATCCGTTTCGTGTGCTTGACAATATAAATTGATCGTGGATGTGTGCGTGTGAGTCATTGTTCCCGCCGTCATTTTCCGATGTCCCGTCCCGTTCTATTGTACTGCACTTTATTGAATTTGATTTACGCACCAATTTTTGTAGGCTTCGGTTTTTATTAACTGACCTCGGTGCCGATGTAAACTTAATTGAATCCGCCAACAAAAGGTATCGAATGAAAAGAGCGTCCAGCGGTGTGCGATGCAGATTATAATAGGTTTTCCGAATTTGCATGGGTTTTAAGTTACTTGATATTCGATATTTTCGCGTTAGTTTTAACTATTGACTTCGTTGTCTGTACTAATTAATCGTTATTGTTAAGATTTAAATTAAAATTTTTCAGGATTCAGAGTTTTTATTTTATTTTGGCTCTGTACAAAAGTCAAAAGTCAAAGTCAAAATCATTTACTTCAATTAATTGATTAAACCAGGAAGACACTTTTGAAAGTCAACGAAAAAAAAATTTAAAGTGAAGCTAATAAAATTTGGTCATTCCAAGGTGTAGATGCCTATGGAGAAGAACGAGCAAGATCCATTTTTTACATTTTTAAATTAAGTAATTGCGTTGTAGGATACACCTGGAAAGGTCATATTTGTTATTATCAAACCCATGATACATTTGAACAACTACTAATAAAATAACAAACAAAAATAAATGTGTCGACGATAGCTTTTCCGCCCATCTTCCGCAACAAAAGCGAATTATTTGCTGAAAGACCGTAATCTGAGTTAATTATCTAAAATTCGGTCGTATTTAACGTCGTTTCGTTTCAAAACGAGTTCTCACAATTGTAGGCGAGTCAAAAGAGCCTTCTAAAGGAATCGCAAACACAATTAGGAGTAAGTTGTTGTTTGTAAATTGTCAGCCAAAGAGTGTGTATGACACGTGGAGCTAGATGCAAAGATGTGTTACTGCTTTATCGGTCATTTATATTTGTAACATGTTGGTGATGGTCAAATGAGTCTTGTATATGTAATTATATTGTTTTTAGTGAGGATTTTAAGTAATTTTGTTATTGCATTTTGAGTTGAGTGCCTTTAACTGCCGACAAAAACTATTAAAGGCCAATCCTCCGCTAGCGTCGGACATCATTGTCCGACATGGCATCCAATGTGCTAAAGTTTTTGTTGTTTTTTACATAACATAACATCACGCCTTTTATCCCCGAAGGAGTAGGCAGGTGTACATTATGCCACTGTATAATGTAACACCCATTTTTTACTATTTATGTTATGAGTCCCATGTAATAGGGGGTGAGCCTATTGCCATATACCGGGCACAATTCGAGACTCCGTGCTACTACTGTGAATTTTTTGAAAAACCCAGTAATATTTTGCCCGGCCCGGGAATCGAACCCGAGACCCCTTGCCCGGCAGTCGCACTAGCGACTACTCGGCCAATGAGGCAGTCAATTGTTGTTTTTTAATGATGTTCTTATTTGGATTAGGTATTTTAATGTATTGAAAAATGTTGTCATAATAGTCTCACGAATGTCGCCGTCTGTCTGTCTTTATGTATGCTTAGATCTTTAAAACTACGTGACGTATTTTGATGCGTTTTTTTTAAATAGATAGAGTGATTTTAAGGAAGGATTATATTGTATAATACATGCATATTGCATCCCTGCGAGGCCGGAGTGGGTCGCTAGGGATGTATATTCTGAATTGTTATTGTTTAAATCTTCACAGGCATTGTAAACAATGCCATAAAAATCTGTACATTTATTTGTTTTATAAAAAGACATGAATTTTCACTTCCATCTTTATACTTCATAGATGTGCCGGCCGCTAAGCTCGTTATTATGATTGTACGCTATAGAGAGATACAGAATGAAATCAGTCGCAACAATGCTGGCGCAATTAAACCCGCGAGGGGATTGAGTTTGAGCCTTAAGACGCTAAGAACGCTGCGCCATTATTACTGAATCAAGAAAAAAACACGGTTTTTGTCAACCCTAAGACGAAATAAATAAAAAAAAGATAACTAGTTTTACGTTTGAGTCTTTGCCCACGAAGGAATTCAGGAATATATAGGTGTCTCTAGAGCCTGTAATGTTTCTCCCTGAAAAGTAAGTTTTCTACTGGTGAAGGGATATTTTCAACAAGTGTGCGACGGGCACGTGTTAAGGACTTGAGTAATAACTTATTATATTAAGCTTTTTAAATTACTTCCATTTATTATTATAACACTAACGAATATAACACATAACTGAATTAAAACTTTGACTGCCAATAAAAAAAACTGTTGAAGGTAAATCCTCCGCTAACGCCGGTCACCGGTGCATGGCGTTTAACGTGTTAAGTAAAAATAATTACGGGTTACTCACGTAAATATACTGAGAAAAGCTCTACTAGTTTCGAGTCACAGAGGGATACTTACTCATGAGCAGCGTCGCAGAGATGTTGCGCAGCCTACTCATAACAATACACAACATCCACTTAAAACGCAATAAAGCCTTCAGTAACCATTGTCTAAATGTAGACAAACCAAACCCAACATTGTAACAGAATTAAAGTCAAACTCTTTCATTGTCAGTAATGCAAATCCGCGCCTGAA